GTCGTTCGGATTCCGAGCCCCCGGGGCCGGGACAGCGTCTTCTTTCCATCTTAAAGGTTTTTCTTTGGATCCTACAAAACCCTGACGGTCATAAGCTCAGTAACAAGAACAAATTAAATTGGGAGCTCATCTCGCCCTCGATCACATTAGGTGTGTGAGCAGCAAAATGCTGGTACACAGGCAGCAGCACGCTGCCATGTGCGCCTGGGAGGGGATTATTGGTGAAAATTACACAGCAAGTAATTAATTAACTCTCAGAGTGTTTGTTGAATGAAAACCGGACAGCCCTTTACCACACAGAATCCTAAATTAAGATAACGTATCGAACTAAGTGGGCCTTGCCCTCGAGATAAAAATGCTGCCAATCCACCCTCAGAGAGAACCACAAGGTCTTGTTTCTCACAAAGGTGGGACTTTAGACAGGGATCTCGAGCCTGAGACACACGGAGACGTCTTTGTTCAACTCTACTTCTTCCTTGCTTATCAAAGCTTAATACTACGTTGGAGAGGGGACTACAAGCCAAAACAGAAACACACAAAACCAGCCCCCAGCTCTTTACGTCCTTCCTAGACAACGAGGCAGATCCGTAACACAAAGGCCTTCCGGCCTCTCCACAATGGAAAATTCAAAGTTTCTCAGCCTTAACAGTTCCGCCATTTTTATAGGACAAGCAGGGTCAGCATGGGGAGGGCCCACAGGGACGACCACAGGCTCCCTCTGCTTAACTTCCAACCTGACGCAGCCTCTGAGCCAATGGAAAAAACAAAAAGATTTGGTTCTGGGGGAGAAGAGCCTGGATTCAGCGCTTCTCCACCTTTGCACTGGCCCACACACCTGAGGGACAGGGATCCAGGGAGGGACAGGGATCCGGGACACCCTGGTGAGTGGCAGAAGCTTCCTGGGGGGCAGGGGGTGCTCCTTAGGGCTGGAGAGGCAAGGAGAGGAAGGGCTGTCGGTGAGCCTCAGACCGGAAGGTCCCTGGGTGGTTTCTAAAAGCCCCTCCCCCTGGATGATTTTGATGCACACGTGAGTCCCCTACAAAGACGACAGAACTGTGCAGGCCCATTTTACAGACCGGAAAACTAAGGTCCAGGAAGGGGAAGTGACTGGCCAGTTAATAAAAGAGCTGAAAATCAGCTCCAGGCCTCTGGTGACTATTGACCTCAGGTGACCCCCACTTCACAGAGCTTTGGATTTGGCCAGCCATCACAAATGTGTAATAAATAAATAAATGAAATAAAGGCACCCTGCTTGCGCTCATTTAATTATATAATCCCCGGGTTGCCACCATAGTTCCAATCCCGGGGTCACGGAATCCCAGGCCGAACTCAAACGTTACTGAGGGCAGGGGAGGGCCCTGGGCTGGTCCCAAAACCTCAGAAAGCCTAAGAGGACCACACGCTTATGCAGAAAACAGCTGCCTGGGATGTCCAAAACACCCCTTTCGGGCTGGAATTCGATCAACCAGATTGGATGCCTCCAGTTCTCTCAAGAGCATCAGGAGCTCCGACTGGAAGGCTCGCGTGTTTCTGAGTGATCTCCAGGGGCACAAGACGCCTTCCTACCGACACGCAGCTAGTCTCCCAGACGGTTTGTCGGGAGGCAGGGCTGGTGGGGGGAGTCATCTACAAGGGACTGCTGGAGGTAACAGGCTGGCCGGTAGGGCCTGCCGCCTGCTCCAGGCCTGCGAGGCCGGGCGGAGGCCTGGGGCCAAGGTCACGCCTCGGCCCCAGGAGCTGGGACCTGCGGGCTTCATGTCCTGCCTGTGTGTTCCCCTTGGTACTTTGCAGAAAACGGTGGCTTCCGGCTTAAATCTAGACTCTACGGATAACTTACCGCTCTTTGCGAAAAATCAAGATTTAATCAAGCCTCTGAGTGCCCGTTCTCACCAGGAGGACCACTCGAAACCCTGCCCGGGGCAAAGACTGATCACACACACTCAGGCCCAACACAGCGCACAGACGGGTCAGAAAGCCCTCATCTCCCACCCAAGGGTGGGAGGGCACCGGGTGTCCCACCCCACACAGATGAACGAACCAACTTTATTACTGACAACTGAAACTTCACAGCAATCCATATTATGTTCATATACTACTTTATGCATTCTCAACGTTAGCTACTATAAACATATACTATGTATTCTAGTTACTTTTACATACATTGTGACATTGTTTTCACAGACACAGCGGTGGGCGCATAGTAAGCACTCAATAAATACAAGTTCACTGAGTCCCTTTAAAGATCTAAGAGCAAAATACTGAAGTCAGTGAAGGGCCTGCCTGTAATGAGATAACGAACTGAGACAGAAGCAATGACGGAGAAGATCCACACTAAAGCACAGGGAGTTTGGGGAGGTCTGTTTCTGATCTGAGGAGGGGACATGCACTCACTGGTCCGACCACTGCTATTTCCGTATCATTTGGTCTCCATGAGTACCACCTAACGCTTCTTCTCACCAAAAAAAAAAACAAAAAACTGACTGACAATATGATATTTCATTGTTAAATACTTTGCTGCTTTACAGGAATGTATATTCCCTGTTAAATGTCTTACCATTATTTATATATTCTCAGAATAAGTAATCCCTTCTGGGTGAAAATTCTACAAGAGAAATTGAGTGTTTCATTCATAGTCAGGATGTCCTGGCTTTTTAAAATTAATAATAATATCCTGGCTGGTGTGGCTTGGTGGATTGAGTGCCGGCCTGCAAACCAAAGGGTGGCTGGTTCAACTCCCAGTCAGGGCACGTGCCTAGGTTGCGGGCCAGGTGCCCAGTTGGGGGGGGGGGGCACCTGAGAGGCAACCACACACTGATGTTTCTCTCCCTCTCTTTCTCCCTTCCTTCTTCTCTCTCTAAAAATAAATAAAATCTTTTTAAAAATTAAAAAGCATACTTTTAAAAATGAACAATAATCTAGCCCCGGCTGGCATAGCTCAGTGGATTGAGCGCGGGCTGCGAACCAAAGTGTCACAGGTTCGATTCCCAGTCAGGGTACATGCCTGAGTTGCAGGCCATGACCCCCAGCAACTGCACATTGATGTTTCTCTCTATCTCCCTCCCTTCCCTCTCTAAAAATAAGTAAAATTAAAAAATAAAAATAAATTTTAAAAATGAACAATAATCTGATAGAATTGCATAAATTTGTGCCTTACACATTGGTACACAGCTGTAACTTACACGACCTTCTTTTCATACACAGTATCTTATCTGTCTCCCAGAGCAACCTGATCAGATATACTGTTAAGCATGATTATTACCCTCCACAAAACCACCCCCAGGTGATAATTCCTGTATGCGTCTTTTAGTTGCGTTCTGACAGCTCACTGACTAGAATGCAATATCCCCGGGGCTCTGGGTGGGGGCGGGGAGGTCTCCCTGTTCCCGGCTGACCCCACAGTGCCTAACACTGTGTGCGAGGCATGCTGAAATGTTTTAGGGAACCGCAGTAAATGAATAAAGGCCTTTGTCTGCTGGAAGCCCTTTTTTGGTGTACAGCACATAATGGAACTGTGTCCCACATGCCCTACTTAGACTTCAGGGGTCTGTTCCCTATCAAAAGGGAATTGTATGAAAATTCTCTAAAAACAATAGAGCTTACACTCGATACTGCTAAGAATAGAAGGACGACATCGTTGGAAACAGGAGAAGTTCAATGCACGTCGAATGTTGCACACCCAAAGTTTCAAACTGTCCACTGTGAAGTTTAGACATCTTTAACTGGCTTTGGTATATTGAGTCTTTGCCTAACGCAGCGAGCGTTTCAGAAAGCTGAGAGAAAAATGGGGCCGTGGTTCACAGAACTGTCAGAACTTTACGACAACCATTTGTTTGCCTGAATTTGCTTCCGATTTAAGTACAAACCCTTACTTTTGATTATGATGACATTTTACAGGTAATTCCATCTGAGACACATGGAATTATCTCTACTTTTCCAAGGTTAACAGGAAAAAAAAAAGGACAACTCTTTGAGAATGAAATATGTAAATGTTTAATATTAAGAAGCAGTTCCAAATCACGGCAGCCAAGAACTCTTTGATCTGGGAGGCCAAAATCTAACTTCTTACACAACAGGCTGAGTTATAAACTACAATCATTCACTAATTACAGCGAAATGACCATCGATCAACAGATGGTCCAAGGTTACCCTTAGAAAGGTCCGCTTACATTCTAAATATTCCTTCTCCTGAAGTTTCCTTAAAAATTGATTTTTTAGGTTTCTTTTCCCCCTTTCTCCATTAAGGGAAAAAAAAAGGGAACGACAAGGGGGTTGAGAAAACCAGAGGAGCCCGAGTCCGCGTGCCCGATGACGTTCAACAGGGACCGCCCTCGAGGCCGAGGCCGGGTGAGGGAGCGCGCATCTGCCTGACGCCCAGGCTCTCGCCCCGCGCCCTGGGTCGTCTCCAGACCCCTGTGTGCACCTGCCCCGGAGCACCAGAGCCCGCCGGCCGCGACGTCCCGGCGTTATTTGCAATCGGTCTGAAAACTAATAAACGACTGCAGGCTTGACAGCACCCTTGGTGATTCCTGAAAATCCACAACAGGAAATGTCCCTCTCCTCGGCCCTCCCTGGGCCATTCATCAAAAGCAGGCCGAGTCACAGCGACAGGGCGGCCCGTGGCGGAAGGCCACTCAGATACTGGGAGGCTCTGCATTTTCTCATCCCCGAACCACGGAACCAAGGACAAGCCGCGCGGCCCACGCTGGAGGGAGGGAGGAGACCGAGGAGGCGGCGGGCAGCGGGTAGAATGTCCCCAAGTTCCAAACTCTATCCTGGGCGGTTCAACCACGAGCGGAACCCGAGCCACGCCGCTAGTAGGGGGCAACCTCTGCCGCCTGTCCCAGGAGTTGCACTCACAGGTGACGAGCACGGGTCGTGCCTAGGCCGCCCGGCCCCGGCCCCTAACGGGCGAACCGAACGCCGCCTTTGCGCCTGGCTCAGGCTGCCAGCCTCCGTCCCTTTTCCGCTCTAAAGGGGCAAGGGGGCGCGGGGGGGCGTCAATGCCCCAAGACCTGGGGCCCGAGAGCGATGCCGGCGCGTCCGGGGAAGGAGAGCGAGCTACATCCTGCAGCCCTGAGAACTTGCACAGGCTTCCGGAACCGACCCCCCAGGCGGTGGCACCGCGAGCGGCCGAGCGCCACGACTGGCCGCGGCGGGCAGCGCTCAGGGACGAGCCCGGCGGACCAGGCGGAAAGGAAGTGGCGGCCGCGGCTTTGCACCAACCACGTTCGGCCGGCGGGCGAGTGCCCCACGGCGCCCAGAGCCGGGTCGGAGGGCGTGGGGCGGGCAGTCACGTCCCCGGCCCGCCGCGGCCCCACATCCCCCAGGAGACGCGGGCCCCCCAGCGTGCCAGCAGGGCACCGCTCGGTCCCCTGAGGCTCCCCGCCCCCACCTCGCCCGCTCCGTAGCTGAGGCGGGTCAGGCCCAGCGCGCGAGGCCGGCCCGGGGCGCCCGTGGGGACCCGGAGGCGCCTGGCGCTAGGCCGCGGCCAGGGCAGATGACCCTTAGGCGCGGCGCCCCCCCGGGACGCGCCGCCAGAGCCCCCCGCGCGCCCGGACAAGTGCAGTGACAAAGCCCCCAGCCAGGCCGGGCGCTGGCCGCCGGGAAGGAGGACGCGACGTCCCTCCCGAGCGGCGGCGGCGGCGGCCCAGCCCCGCGGAAGCCGGGCGCGCCGGCCAGGCCCCGCGCCCAGCCCGGCTCCGAGCCCGAGCGCCCGGGACCCTTCCCCGATCCCGGCGGGCGGGCGCCCCATCAAGTTTCCTCCCGCCCCGGCGGGCGGCGCCTCTCCCAGCCCCGCGCGGGCAGCCGGGCGGACGGTGGGTGCCTGCTTATTTACGCCGGAGGCTGCCCGCACAGGCGCCGCCGCCGCCGCCGCCGCCGGGCGCGGAGCAGGACCCGCTCCCCGCCTCGGATCTGGGGGCGACGGCGTCTGTGCACACGCACACACTCTCACACGACCAATCTGCTGTAAAAGGAGGCCCGACTCCGGCGGACCCGCACCCCCACACACCACACCTGGGGCGCGGAGTCACACAGAGCAGGTCAGTGTCCATGGAGCCACCTCTCCGCGTCTGCAAATCCAAAAGTGAAATTAAACCTCCACCGACCTCCTCCTCCTCCTCCCTCTCTACCTCCTCCTCCTCCTCCTTGCAGCCTCAGCAGCCCCAGCACCAGCAGCAGCAGCAGCAGCAGCTACAGCGGCAGAACCTGCTTCCCCTAAAATCACAGGATCCTGAACCGCGCGGACTGCTCCTCCAAAAATCGGTATTAATATTTATGAGCCCCAGCGTTCTCCGTCTGCAAAACATCATGTCAGACCATCTGGACACGCGCGCGCACACACACACACACACACACACCCTCCGGTGCTCACAAACATGCCCTCACGAAAACCACACTCGCACAGTCCCAACTATTATTGGAAAAAAAAAAATGTTACCTCTCGAGTGTGCTTTTTCACGCTACCAATGCGATTCCGCAAGATTTGAGTGTTGCTAGGGTGTGTGAAATGGAAATGAAAGCCCGTCGTCAGTTGAATAATCGCAGGAGCAAAACTAAAAGTTACTCCCCGGCTTGCCTGAGAACAGTCCAGATCGAAAGCAAAACAAGGAGAGGAAACCGAGCAGCCGAGGCTGGAAATCCCCCCGCCCCCCGCCCCGCTGCGCCCGCCTCCCTCCGCCCTTCCTCCCCAGTGTTTGTTTCAGGCTTGTGCAACCGCGAGGGGGGTGGGGGGGGCGGCGGAGGGCGGGCGCGCGGCGGCCGCGAGGTGCGGAAGTTCGCCGCCGCCGCTCATTGGCAGGCCGGGCGGCTTTCATCATTTCTCGAAAAGTCGATTTCATTTTCACTTCCCCACGTCGCGGCAGCGGGAGCAACAAGCGGCTGCTCGTGAGTCTGTTGTTGGCGCGTGGGGCGCCCCCCGCGCGCCGCGCGAACACTCGAGCGCCGTGGGGTAGGGGTGGGGGTCCGCGGGGGGACGCGGCGCACGCCCGGGGGCAGCGGCTGTCGGAGGGAGAGCGGGTACCTGACTCTCCATCCTAAGGGATCCTGAAGGTTGGGAAGGAGTGGGGGGGGGGGGGCATCCCGGGACGCACGGGGCTCATCCACTCAGTAGGTGGGGCAGGTGTAAGTGGTGTTTAGAGACTTTGTAACCCCGTCCGCTCAAAGGAAGAGTAACTGACACAACAGCATCACTTAGGGCTGGCGTCCTGAACCTTTTTGAACCCTTATCAGGGGCTGAGGGTGTAACCACTTGAGGGGGCTGCTGCTATCTCAGGCACCACCGCCTGGCGCTCCCTGGGCGATAAGGAAGGCCTTCTTCCCCCAGCAAGTCCCGAGTAGCGCCCTGCAAGTTATCCACGGGGCATGGGCAAGGATGCGAGTTAATGTTGCCCAAAAATGTCGGTCGCAGCTGGCAGAGGCAGATTCCATTTTGGCCTCCCTAACTTACTTACTAGCTGGGCATCCTTGGGCAGGATAAGGGCTCAGTTTGCAAGGCTGTAAAATGGGGATAAAGAGAGGATGCAAGAACACAGGTGCAGCACCTGCCACCTTAAGGTATGCCGTTCACTTGGGACCTGCGGGGCTTGGTCCCTTGCTTTAAAAGCACTGATTCTCAGCTGATCATACCTGTTTCTAATCCCCCACGTGAAGTTTCATCAGGCTTCTCCCAGACTTCTCCACCCAGAGAAGGTCCTTTCCCGAGAGGCCACGGCTCTCTAGAGGTAAACACGTTTCTATAATAAGAGCGTCAGTCCAGCACCCCTATCTGCCGCAGAAGTATTGAATTCTACGGACTGGACCACGAAAAGTGCCCAAGTATACGGCGATGGGGATGAGACAGAGGACGGTCCGGGACTCTGTTTGGTGGGCCTCAGAGAGACAGATCGCACAGGCAGACACGTCCCACCCCTTTCCCAGAATCCCGTCTGACACCGCCGCTCCCTTGTTCCTTTCCCACACCGGGACCACTGCAGGCTGTCAGAGCCACGCCGGACACTCTCTGTAGGACAGTACTCTGCCCGCCCCGTGGGCCCACGCTGAACACCTGTGAGTGATGCTTTCTTTCCCCCAACTGACCCAGTCATGGACGGGTTCTGAGAGCCTAAGTGAAACCGCATACAAAGAAACCAGTTTTACCGTGAGCTCATTGACGGAAACAAGGGGTAAGTTCCTGTGGCATCCCATCAATGCTCCAGCAGCGGAAGAACGGGGAACCACACGGTGTCGTTCAAGGACCTGCTGCACTTCCCGCCCACGGTGTCCTGCCGACCAGGCAGTGCCGCTGCCAGGTCTCCCCGGGCCTGGGCCTCGCTCCATCATCCCCACCGCCTGGCTCCACTCACTGATGGCAGTGGCCTTGCTCCCTCCCCGTCTCTGCACTCGGACGCCTCCGGGCGGGCAGCCACACCACTGTCCAAGTTCAGGAGAAAATTAACTTCAGGTGAGGCACACTTCCAACCCCAACTTCTCCCCTCGGGGAAGTCCGCCTTGTTTGACAAGACATGTAAAGTCTGTTATCATCTGCCACCAAACTACTCGTCGAGCGGCACCTCCGGCCCCTGGGCCCCGTGAGCCCTAACCCCTCCCCTTGTCATGCCTTTTTCTGAAGCACAGAGTCGTCCCCATGTTCATCATTTCATCCTTAGGGTGGTGCCCAGCACACATGCACTCAAATACTTGTGAATGAATAATTACTTGGTTCCCATGAATTGTTTTCGACTTCGTTATTTTTAATCCTCACCCAAGGACATGCTTGTTGATTTTTAGAGAAAGGGGGAGGGGGAGAAACGTCAATCAGTTGCCTCTCCTGCACCTGATTGGGGGGACCCACACCCCAGGCATGTACTCTGACCAGGAATCGAACCCAAGCCCTTTGGGTGTTTGTGACGACACCTCAGCCAAGTGAGCCACGCCGGTCAGGGCTTATTTTCTTTTATGTATAAATGCAACCCATGTTTATGGTACAGAAGGCAGAAAATACAGAAACGTTGAATGAAGAAAATCCACCACCGGAAATCTCCCCAATCAGGAGTAGACCTGTTGCTATTTTTATGTATTTCCTTCTAGTAATGTTTCTGCGCACCTCCCAGTCTCATCCACTCCGCCTTTTATGTGACATTTGAAAACGCTCATCACGCCGCCCACTTTCCCAGCATGCCCCTGTCACGCCCCTCCGTGCTGCCCTGCGTCTTGGCTGGCTGCTCCTCTGGTGCCGGCCCCCTACATGACGGTGTTGCAGACTCTCTGTCCCCAACCCTCCTATTTTCCCATTCAGCCGTCCCCCCCGCCCTTGCACGCCCTCCCCCATGCCCAGGGTTTCAGACACCGCGCACTGAGCGCCAGCTCCAGAGCGTGTGCCTTCTGAGCTCCGGACGCACGACCTCCTGGATGCTCCTCAGATTGAACGTATCCAAACCTAAACTCAAAACACCTTTCCCTGCGCCCTTGTCTTCGTCACATCATTGATCAGCCGGGGAGCCAGGAGGCGTCGCCAACTGCGGCCTTTCCGGGGGCCCGGGAGCCCCCGGGGCAAGGGTGTTGTCTCTAGTTTTCCAGGCCCCTGAGCTCCTAAGGCAGAGAACGGACTTCACTCTGGCCTCAGGCCCTCGATGACAGGTCACTGCAGACAGAAAATGTCAGTGCGACCCCCAGATCCACATGGTATCGATGCACACAGTCACGGCGTATTCTGTAGCCCTTTGATGAGAGGCACATAGTCATTAATCTCTGTAGGGAAAGTGGATCGATAGAGCAAAGCATAACCAGGTGGAAGTCTCTGGGAAAAGGAACCCCTGGCGTACCGAGGAAGCCCGGCCAGACGCCCTGGTCTCATACGAAAACCGTGGCTGGAGCTGTCTGGTGAAACCAGAGCGACCTTCCGAGTGCGGTCCCTCTTGGTGCGCTCCCCCTGTGGAACGGGGCGTCCTAAGAGGAGGCCCGCCTGGGCGGATTTTCGGGGGAGCGGGGTCAGGGCGGTGGTCACTTGGCCGTCGTGGAGTAGTGGCTGTCTCCATGACTGCACCTCAGACACGAAATTGAGAGAGACATTCAAGGTGGACCCCTTCCAAGTGGGTTTTCCATTCATTTTTTTCTAATAAACAAGAATAGCGTCATCAAATTATCATTCAAGTACCAAACTTGATTCGTGCCAAGGAACTTTTCTCGGCTCTGGGAAGACAGCAGTGAACAAAACAGATGCAACCCTTGGCCTTCCAGAAGCTTTCTGGTGGTCTAGCCAACTGGCCCCTTAGCTGTTACTGTGTCGGTCATGGCGGTGAGGTCCCCCCCCACGTGTAATCACAGCCGTGCATGAAGGATGTGGACCGCGGTGGTGTACTACCCAAGCGTCTAGGACTTACAGCTATGATTAAACCCCTGGGCCAGCTGATGCCCGAGTTTTCTTGGGTCACCGATACCACCTCTGTCCTGGCCACGGAGACTCCCCTCCCTCATGCTGGAATCCAGGGCCACACGACCACGGAAAACGAGTGTGCCACCCTTGCCAGAGCAGTGGGCCGGCACAAAGCCGCAGATCGAGCGCTGAGTAGCAAGGACTGTTCTTGTGACATGCACACTGAGTAACCGCATGGCCAAGTGAGATCTCAGTTGGGACCGTGCAACTGCAAAGACGTTGGAAAAGCTGTCAAAGGTCAAGGGTGATAGGCACCCAGTCGGAGCACTTCTGGAGGATTACCTCGTGTGAGAGTGTCTTCCATTTCATTGACACTCTGAAATGGAGTTCATTTTGTTGCAATTACTCCCTGAAAAGCATGACTTTGAATGGAGTAATATCAGAGATTGCCCAATCCTTAGTAATAAATATAAGTATTGTCCTATTTCTCTAATGAAGGGAAAAATACTCTTTGAAACGTGTGTTACTGTGGTTTCTTTGTTGCATTCCAAATGGCTTTGAAATATTCATTAGTTCTCTAAGGTGATAAAATACAAAGTAGTGCTTTTATTACTTTTAAAGGCAGAAGGAAAAAGCATCTATACTTGTGCCTTGAAGTTCTTTAAAAAGAATCACTGTAATCATTTCAAGGGTCAAAATATTTTAAACAAGAAATACATTTCAAACGTGTAACATAAATTCAGCGAGCCACAGGAGGCGCTGCACCTGGGTGTTGGGAGAATACTTTGTTCCGGCTTTCACGGTTCCCTGCAGGCCCCTCCCTCGCAGCCCGGGAAGGTTGTCAGTGACACTCGGTGTGTCCTCTTCTTCCCTAGACCTGCTGATGCTTGGAAGTTTGCCAACCAGAAAGACAGAAGAGTGTCATAAAACTAAACACCGAGAGTATTTTTAAATTCCCTCACTTCCTGGAGAAACTACTGTATCTCCTCTGAATCCCAAAGGCGCGTAACAGTTGATGTACGTTCTTGGTGCTGCCCCCTGGGTCCGGCTTCAACCCCCCGGGCATTCCCACCCGCGTTCACGGAGCACCGTGAGGCCACGGACGTGCTGAGAGCGGCTGTGAAGGCGGTCAGGGTGGGACGAGCCC